ACCACATAGCTGGCACATGAAACTAGGACACTTTGCAAGATACCTGTGACCTGGGGTGAAACACAGGTGATGTGACATTTAGCTATGTAGGGGGCTGAGATCCAAATGACCAATCAATATTATCTGTTATGCATGCATTATTAGGGGAAGGGCAAAGGGCTGAATGTGACCACCCCTTGACTATAAAAATTGCTGTAAGATTCTCATGGAGGCCCTTGGGTAGCTCTTGAGCCAGGGTCCTTATATCTTGGTACTGTAAGATTTAAAATTCCCAACTAATTATATAAATACTCACAACACTAAAACAAGTCTCTGGTTCACAATTTCAAAGGTTTATTGTAGGAAAGAAAAGCGTTTGCAAGCGTGGCCTCCAAGACCCTTCCCAATTGGATTGAGTACAAGGATAGCAAATTTCACTACTTTAACAATACATTTTATATCCCTGCACAGAACTACCATCTTGGGGTCGTCATGACATTGTTTCCTGGGCTTCATTGTTTTATCTTCTATTTATTCCTGGGCTGCCAAGCTTTACCTTTGATGAATGTTCTTATCTTATTTATTCTCCCTAGCCTGGTCAGATCTTCCTGTTGTTCTAACAATGTGTCATGTCTTTGTGGAATATATCGTCTATATGTGAATGACTGGGCCAGGATGTAACTTCTTTCAGTAGAAACAACAAAAGGGAGGGGGTTTTCTGCAAGGACAGAGAAAGCTGGCAAGGACACATCAAAAAGGAATGAAAGAAAATAATCTAGTCTATTTCATACACAAAATGAACCAAAGAGTTTTCTAATCTTGCTATATAATGTTCATTATAAAAGAGTAACTTATAATTTTTCTCTCAGTACCAAAATAAAAGTATATTGTATCACACTTTGTGTCCGGTGACTTATTGGCTTCAACACCAAGCAAGAACCCAGTTTTGGGGACAACACCAGTGATGGCTAAGAAATGTGCTGGATTCAAATTATGATCTGTAGTTAAAACCAAATCTGTTTGCTTCATCAAAATTGCCTCATATCTCAGAATTCGGGAATCAGTCAGCCATCTTCCTGCTTTTTGCTGAAGAATGGTTCTGACTTGATGTGGGGTGCTCACAGTGAGGACTCCCCAAAGGTCAATTTTCCATTATTTTTGACAAGAATGCCACAGGCTTCCGTTGTCCTGCCCAGGCCTGAGCCAACTCACCTTGTGCAATTCCATTCTCTGTGTTTACAATGAGATGGAATGGATTTTCCAAATTTGGCAAACTTAACACAGGAGCCTGTGTTAGGAATATTAGTCACCTATCAGTTGGGTTGGAAATATATAAACCAGGATAGACATTTAATACTATCTCATTAAAGGAATGCTAAAATTGTAATTGGGTGTGGTTCCTCAAACAGCCATAAGATGGAGCCAGAAACCTGGGTTGTTAGTCACCTTACAGGCCACAACATAACTCGTTTGTAGAACAAAGAGGGCAAACGTTACAAGCCATGTCTCACACTATGTTATCTGACTCAGGTTTGCCTGAAACACTGTGGGGTGAAGCCATAATGTGTAGCAACCATGTAGTGAACAATGTGGTGAACACAACAACTGGAGAATTGCCATTCACTCGTTGGCATGGCAGAAAACCAAATTTAAGTTATCTACACACATTTGGAGCTCCAGCATGGGTGCATATTCCCACACAGGTAAGACTGAAAGGGCAACATAGAGCTAGGAAGTTATTTTTTGTAGGTTATGAGGCCAACCATGGATCGTTTAGATTTTGGGATCCAGGCACAGCTAACGTTTACTGTAGCGCTAGTGCTAAATTTCTTGAGCACGTTGGGTGGAATAAACTGGAACAGGAATCCAGCAATGATGTTATTATTGACACCCAAGTAGTCTCTAAAGATGAAATAGTTAAACCATCAATAGCCATTAAAGAGGAAGAACAGGCACAGGATGAGGAAGAACAGGCACAGGAGGAGGTAGAAGAACAGGAGCAAGTGAAACAGGAGAGTCCACCAGTAAGCCCAGTATTACCTAGACATTTAACCCGAGTAACACGACCACCTGATAGATATCAGGCTAGTGTTGTATGCCAAGTGAATACAGTTCCTGGTAACTATAATGAACTGAAACTGTATCCTGCTAAGGATCAGGTTGCTTGGCAGGAAGCAATGGATAAGGAACTGAAATCCTTACAAAGACTGGAGGGATATGAAAACGTCAGGTTACCACCAGGTAAACATGCCATAGGGTATAAATGGGTTTATAAGCTTAAGACAGGTGTGGATGGGACTGTTACCCATAAAACCAGGTTAGTAGCACAAGGGTTCAATCAGACAGCAAACAACTATGATGAGGTGTTTGCACCTTGTCTGAAGGCTACTACATTAAGGGCAGCATTAGTGTGGGCAGCTAAGGAGAAATACATTATAAATCATTTAGATGTAGAGACGGCATATCTGCATGCACTGTTGCAATACACTATATATTTAAAGAAACCTTTAGGTCTCAAAAATGATAATACAACTGATTGCTGGAGATTGAAAAGTAGTCTTTATGGCTTGAAGCAATCAGGATATGAGTGGAACCAGTGCATAGTTAAGGAATTAACTAAGATAGGTTTTGTAGCTGGCATGGCTGATCCATGTTTATTTAAAAAGGAAAGTGATGGTGTAATTTCATTGTTGCTATTGTTTACTGATGACATAGCATTAATCACCAAAACTGAGAAAGAAGCTAATAAAATAATCTCACTGTTAGAGAAGACATTTAAGATAAAACAGTTAGGAGAAATTAAACAATATCTTGGTTTAAAAATAGATAAAACTAAGGGAGGATACAAAATCTCACAGGCAGATAAAATTAACCAATTACTAAAGAATTTTAAAAAGGAACTTTGTAAACCGGCTAAAAAACCAATGAGCCAGGAGTTTAGCCACATTGATGTACAAAGTCCTGTTTCTGATAAAGATATTTATCAGTCCTTGACTGGTAGCTTATCTTATCTCAGTAATTGGTCGAGACCAGATATAGCATACAGTGTTAACCAATTAGCTAGGTTTAATACTGAGTCAACTGAAAGGCACTGGCAAGCTGTTAAACAAACAATGCATTATGCATTATATTTGGAGCCTAAGGATGAACTAAGTTTAACTGCATATGCCAATGCAAGTTTCGCTACAGACATAAATACACATAAATCAATGTCAGGTACTGTAGTGTTATTAGGAAAGGTGTTGATTGGATGGAGGTCTATTCAACAGAAACATCTAAGTTTGTCAACAATGGAGGCTGAATTCTCAAGTTTGTCTCTATTATGTACGGATTTAGTTTATTATAAACAACGATTGATTGATATGGGAATTGATGTAACAGATTCTATTGTTGTGTATGAAGACAACCAATCAGCAATACAGAAGGCTTCCAATCTTGCTGTAAAGACAAGATCAAAACACACAGATTTAAGATATTTAAATGTGAGACAATGTGTACAAAGTAAAATGATTAAACTGGAGTACTGCATGTCAGAGAATAACATTGCAGATCATTTTACAAAAGCCCAAGGCTCTGTAAAGCATAAAGCTTGCTGTGAAGGATATGGACTTAAACTGTAAGGTGTTATATATTGTCCTACCCAAAGGGGAGAATGTTAGGAATATTAGTCACCTAACAGTTGGATTGGAAATATATAAACCAGGATAGACATTTAATACTGTCTCATTAAGGGAATGCTAAAATTGTAATTGGGTGTGGTTCCTCAAACGGCCATAAGATGGAGCCAGAAACCTGGGTTGTTAGTTCTGTTGTTGTTAGTTGCTAGTTGTTCTGATGTTCAATGTTCTTGGTTCCTGCATTTTTCTCTATTGACTGTTGCTGATCATTGTTCTTCTTGGATTGCTGTGAGTCTATTTACTGAACTGTTTATGATACTGGACTTTGATTTTTGGATTATCCCTGGACTGAATACTGACTGCTTTAACCGTGTATGACTTGGACTGTTTGTTGGACTTTGCTTAACCGTTTACTGGAAGCAAAACCTACATTTTTACTATTCAGTGTACTTGTGTGCTGATCGTGTGTTATTCAACATCACTCTCACTATGTTTCCCTGTGTGCACTCATTATCCTAATGGTGAATTCCCTCAACAGCCTGTTTCAAATTTTCAAAGCTTCCTCTTTCATTTCCCTCCCACTTCAAATTCTAAAGTTCAGATTCAATTAACTTTGCATACAGAGGTTTGGTAGGATAGTCTGCAGTATCCCACCAAGTCTAAGAATTTCCTGAGTTCTTGCTTGTTTTTAGGTAAGGGTTGGGATGCCACTGCTTCTATTCTTCTATAGAAATTGAGTACTGCTTTTGCCTAACTACTTTGTTTGGATTCTTGAGTGTAATTTTCAGTGGGGTTCAAAACCCTCATAGGAATAGTCTCTCCTGGCCCAAATTCAAATTTCAATTGAAGATCTGCCAGGGAATCCGTTCCCAGCAGATTAACACCTGCTTCTGATATATATATATATAAAACATTTCTACCTCTATCTTTTTATTTTGTCTTTTTATTCCCAAATAGAGGGGGGTTAATTTAAGTACTCCAAATCTTTCCCTTTTACTCCAGATACTCTAATACTTTGTCCACTTGATTTCATCTCTTCAGTTAATACTGATATCAAAGTTCTTGCTGCCCCAGTGTCAATTCAAAACACAACTTCCTCTTCCTTACATCGATCCTGACACCCCTAGTATTAGCTTTCATCTTCTGCCATCACATTATACACTTGCGCCTCCCTTCTTTGGATCCGGCAGCCTTTCCTGAAATGTCCAGGCTTGCCACACCCAAAACATCTCCTCACTCTGTCCTCCCTGCCCGTACCACCACATCCTCTTTCCCTTATCACTCCCTGGTTCCATCCTATCATTCCCTCATTTCTATTGCCCCCACTTTCTCTAACTCCTTCTCCTACCACTGCCATCATGACTTCCAAGTCAACACAAGTCTGCAAATAACTTTCTAGCTAACTAGACAAAAAGTCCGTCTCTTACTTCTATTACTTTCACACAGCTACACCAACACAATAATGTTCTTTTATCCTTGACAGATAGCTCATTTAACAACAACTTCAACAGATAACAGATAATGAGAGTTGGAAAGGACATTGTAGGTCATCTGGTCCAACCCCTCCACCCAAGCGGGAGACCCTACACCATTTCTGACAAATGGCAGTCCAATCTCTTCTTGAAAGTCTCAAGTGATGACACCCTCTTTCTACCTATTATAATTTCTAACTCATCTCTGTAACAATTCCTAAGAGGGCAACATCTTGTGTTGCTAACAAACAAACAAACAAACAAGTGAGGTATTTTGAGTCAAACTTTAGTGTCAATTCTCTGATTTGATCAAAATATGGATTAAGAGTATGTACAGAGTGCGGCTGGTTTGAATTTTGATTCCCTTGCTGAGCTGAGCTCCATTGTAAAACGGGAACTGAGCCACCTTCAAAGATAACATTCTAGGCAAACTGCCCACCTCAGCCTAGCCATCTAAGGTTTCTTTGTTTGGAGAAGCGCTGAGAAAAATCATGATATGAAATAGTGTTTCTACAGCAATGACTACCTCTGCAAGCTGTGTAACCTATAAAAAGTTATTTTCCAGCCCCGCCTTTCTCAGGCAAAAGCTCAAAGCAGGAAAAAAAATTGTTAAAGCGAGAAAAAAGTCTCACTCCCCGCCACACCCCTTTTCCTGCTTCTCTTTTCTTTTTCAAGGTAAAAAGTCCTTGAGCAAGAGAAATAAAAATTAACAACTAGCAAGGACAAGAGGGGGGGGGGGAACGTTTAAAATACTACACAGAAATCTTACCCCTTTCTCCACTCAGCAGCCCTTCAACAAAATAATTTTCTCTCAAAATAAATCACACACATTTCTCCATGGGACCTTTCTTATTTTCTTGCACATGCTATTTCTTACTCTCCTTTTAATCTGGGATGGGGGTCAACACACAGACATTTACACCAACTTTTTACCATCAACATACTTGCACATTTGTACTGTAATCAGACTGCTTGCACACTTACAATTCTTTTCTGGGAGCCAATGAGCTCCATTGTCTAAATAATTTTGTGTACTGTTATGAGAGGGTCTCATCCTCCAGGCCTAGAAATGATTATACACAGACACATTCTCACACACAACATTTCCAGACCTGGGGAGGTTTTGCCTCTTTAAATCTCCACTTTTTCTTTCTTTGGGCAACCAGTAGTTTGTTCTCAGAGCAGTGGGATAACTCAAGGAGTGGTTCCAGTCACAAATCTGATTGTGGGCCCTAACCACTGCCTACCTGCTTCCCACAGCTTTAAGTCCAATCCAGAAAGCCAACTTAATTCTCTGGCTGGCCAAACATGTCACAATTATGTTTTGTTTGGAACTGCAGCAGCCTCAATTGGCACTATACACAGGTAAAGGATATTTTTCTTCAATTCAATCCCATTCAATTCTGCATGCAATTATTATACATGCACATCTAAGAATTTTTAATAGAAATCACATCAAATTGATCAAGTCAAATTATCTGAGTCTTTTCATTTAAACGGGCAAAGCCTTTTTTATTACTTGCTAAACCCCAGGTGGGAAAAACAATAAATCTTTTATTCTTTACTCTTAGTTCTTTCTACCACACATAACAGCATAAATTAACCCTAACTTCTTTGGTCAGCCCCAATGTCTGAATCATCTTACTGTATGGAGGGGCTTCTCAACCTCTAAGTATTTTTCCCTAAAGGACTACTCAGGTCTATTTACAATTTGGGATTCTTCCTAATTGTTTTAGTGAACTTCTCACTTTTACTCAAAGTTACACCCAAAACATCTCCTTAAGCACTAAATAATTAAAAGGGATTAAAAAAAAAAAACCTGAATTGTTACTATGTGTCTCTGCCCTGGGCATATTCCCTTTCTAGCTTGAGTCTCCCAGCAGAAGCTGGCTTTTTCACACATCGTTTGCCAGGGCTCTCAAGAGCAAGTTTGAACTACATTTCTCTTTCACACATTTCTCTTGGGACCCACCGGGATTGCCAGACTGAAGCAATCCTTACCAACTTGTTCCAGTGAGACCTTCGTACACACACAGTTGGCACCTGGCCAGAGCAAAAGACACTCCTCACTGCCACTAAAGGTCTGTCTCTGCCCTGGAGAGCCTGAATCTCCCAGAAGACACTGGCTCATTTTAAAGATCCAAACTCTTCCCTACAAATCCTGAATCTCCCAGCAAACACTGGCTTATTTTAAACATCAAGATCTATAGAGACCTTTATTCGACCTTCGATACAGCCCAAGGACTGCTAGGGTCTCTCCATACACCTCCCACACAAGTCTCAGATTCTCACGGCCCTACCTACCAGACTTAACCGCCAAGGCAATACTTAAGTTCACTTTTCTTACCTTGGTCTGTGCACAGAATTGCCCAGTGGTTTCTGGCAATCCCATAAACTTGGTACCCTTCCTTCTTTTTCTGTTTTCAACTGACCTCTGTTTTAAACACGGATCTGTGTCTCGTTCCATGTTCCTGAACAGCAGAGCTGACTGTGGACTATTGAAATCAATGGGGCATGCCTTCCTCACCGACTCTGCCATCCAGGGCATCAGAAGAGAGCAGTTGCCCGCATTCTCCACCAATTGTTGGAAATAACTCAAAGCCAATAAAAAAAACTTGGATCGTTGAAAACAAAGAGGATTTATTAAAAAGAAATATTAGACAGTTTGCAAATTGCTGGTGGTCTTTAGAACCTCAAGAAACAGGTTCAAATCAAAAGCCACCCCTTTAGAACCTCAAAACATACTTTATATACAGTTTCATCTTGTCACCCAAGTTCCCTCCTTCTTGAGACTCATTCCCTCCCAAGTTCAAACTCATTGGATTTGCCCTCAGGTGTTGCAGCTAATCTTAGGATGTCTCCGGGGAGAATTGTCTCCTTCCGTTATGTTCTCATCTGTACCCCTCTGTACCTCTTACTTTGGCTGCCCACGTGGTATCGTTTAGGAATGTAGCATCCCCTCATCAGGGCCTCTTTCTCAGCTCATCATATACTACCATTTTTCCAAAGAGATTATAACAACCCCCCTGAACATAAAAATAATAATATAAAAGGCACATACATAAGATAAAAATATAAAAAGGCTTAACAATGGAGCATGTCAAAAGTATAAAAGCAAAGCATGTATATACAGGGAGATATATTTCATTTGATAACAGATTAATAGAATTGGAAGGGACCCCACAAGGTCATCTAGTCCAACCCCCATTTGTAAAACTTTTAAGCATCTTATATACCATTTTATTTTTGAATTTACTTATTTCTTACAATTTCCATCTTACCACCTATTTTATTTTGTATATTCTCTTCGTTTACTTTCTCAAAGCCGATGTGTAGCAAATAAAAAAAGAAAAAGAAAAGAAAACTAATATCAATATAGTCATTCTTAATTATTACCTTCCAATTAACAAACAATAATTTACTATTTACTATTTTATATGCACATATGTTTCTTCACCCACCACCCATCCCCCCAATTCAGGAGCCATATGGACATGGTATTTCCCCTTTGATGGAAACTTGATGTACCCAGCAATGCTATGTTTTCTGCAGAGGGGAAACAAGACACTTGAGTGTCTAGGGGTGGGGAGGGGGCAGAGTTTTCTCTTCTCCCCCCCCCCATCCTCCCCCATTGGGCACTGCCGACTTTCTCCAGCAAAGGGGCCAAGAGCATCCCAGAATCAGCCTCTCCTCCTGTGGCCTTGAGGGAGAGGGAGCCAAGACGATTTTTAAGCATTGCCAGCTGGAGAAGGGTGGCATTTTCCTGGGCACATGGTGGCATTTCAGGAGGGAGACCGGGAGATTGGGGGAGAGCATTCAGAAGGCCTGGGCTCCCCCCAGCCTTTGGCCGGGCCAGAGTCTAGAGGATCAAGGGCTGATTTGAGCCAGGAGAGAATAGAATGTTAGAACAGGGTTGGAAGGGGAGCCTAGAGGTCTTCTAGGCCAACCCCCTGCTACAACAAAAGACCCTGTATCATTCTGGAGAACTGGCTGTCCAGTCTCTTCTTGATAACCTAAAGACAGATAGACAGATAGACAGATAGACAGATAGACAGGGAGGGAAGGAAGGAAGGAAGGAAGGAAGGAAGTGTTCTGTATTAACATTCTTGAAGACTCGCATTCTGATTGGTCCACCCGGACCGCAACCCGATTGGTCCATTGAATGACTGTGATTGGAGCGCTAAGAATCTACCGCGATTGGCCGAGCCGATCACGGGAGATTCAAAGCGCTGCGGCGGCGATCACCCCCGCTCCGAATGCTGTTTTCTCGACACCATCTGCAGGCACTGCGAGAAGCGGGGGCACATTGCCAAGGTGTGCCGGAACAAAAAGAGCTACAGCCCGCAGCGACGAGGAAACAGCCCACGACGACGAGACGGCACCCCCTCCAGGCACCGAGACCGACCGACTGAGAGCCGGTGGAGCCGCGACAGCCGCAGCAGACGACTCAGCGAAGCACAGCGGCGCGAGGAAACCCACCAGATGGTCGTCATCGGCCATTCTTCAACCATGGACGCCCGAAAGGTACACGTGGCCCTGTGCATCGAGGACCAGCCCTGCGAGATGGAAGTGGACTCCGGGTCCTACCTCTCAATGGTTTCTTGGTGCACAATCAAGCGCCTAGTCCCGACCATCCGCCGCAACGAACTAGACAACCAGAAGCTAATCCTGAAAGACTATCAGGGAAACCGCATCCCTGTGGCCGGCATCGGGCACTTTAAGGTCACGTTCAAGAACCACACCAACATCTTGCCACTCACAATCGTGGACCGGGACCGCCCCAGCTTGCTCGGCCTGCAATGGTTCGCCCCGCTGGGCATCGAGGTGACGGGCATTCATCACACAGACGAGGCCGACTGGGAAGCGACGCTCGTAAAAGAATTCCAGGAGGTCTTCGACAACTCGCTAGGCAAGTACCGAGGGCCCCCTATATCTTTCAACCTTAACCCTAACATCGCCCCAATCCGCCTCAAACCCCGGCGAGTGCCTTTTGCGCTCAAGCCGAAAATCGACGAGCAACTAGACAAGCTCGTCGCGCAAGGGGTACTAGAGCCCATCGACCATGCCCGTTGGGAAACGCCCATAGTCACCCCCATCAAACCCGATGGCTCCATAAGAATTTGCGGGGACTACAAGGCCACCCTCAATCACGCGCTGCAGCAAAGTGCCTACTCAGTCCCAGTAGTACAGCACCTTCTGCACTCACTGGGGGGAGGCCGGGTCTTCGCAAAACTCGACTTG